GGGCGGGGCGAAGCCTCACCACCTGCAGCCGCCGCGGGCGCTGCGCGCGAGTCGGGCCGGTCCCCGCGCGGCGTCTCGGCTCTTCGGGGGCTCACCTGGCGCCGCCCCGCAGACAATACACCTCGCGCGCTGGCGACGGCTCGGAGCTCCCTGGTTTACGCAGAGGTGGTTCCGGAGAGGACTCCACCAGGAGCCTCGCACATAATTCACTCCACCCGCTTTGGAGAATTTCTTTTAAAGGGGGCTTAATTAGAACTTAGACCATTATCTTGCCCTTCGATTTTTTTTTTTTTTTTTTTTAACGAGCACTTTAGTGAACACATATTTAATATTTAAAAGAATTGCTCACTCAGGGTTAAGTATTGCTGAGGGAGATGCTATTTTCAGAAGGGTTCACTGTGCTTCTTTAGGAATTAAGATTGAAAGGAAGAGAGATTAACTGTGCAGGTGGCAGACACAGCAAGTGTTCTGAAAACTACTTTTTGTTAGAGAAGTTTTTGAAGTCAGAAAGATAACGCAACAATAATAATAGCGAACACCATTATGTGATGCACTTAATTACATGCCAGCCGCCAGGCTAAGGACTTTATATAGATTATCTAATTAATCTTTTCCCCAAGGTATTGTATAGGTCCTATCGTTTTTATTCCCATTTTATAGATGATGAAACGGAGGCTTACAGAGGTCAGTTTTCCCGAACCACAGCTAGTACATGGCAGAGCTTGTTTTGAATTCAGTGCCCTGGCTCTACAGCCTTAAAATAAAAATACATAAAACAAATATTTTATTGATGCTCCAAAACTCTTTTATATTTTTCTTTAACTAGAGACGATTAAAAAAAGCATTTTTATTATATTTTAAAAGAAAATGTTAACTGGACATTAGCATCAATAATATGTAAATTTAGAAATTAGCCATTTTAATGAGTAGAATTCCAAGTTTGCCTTAATTAGTTCAGTGAGCCTTTGTTTAAAAGGAATGAGCCAAACCTGTAACTGTGAGAGAACAAGAAACTAGGCAAAATTTGAAGCTCAATCTGTTCGTTTTCTACTGCTGCTGTAACCAATAACCATAAACTTAATGGCTTACCACAACACAAACTTATTATTTTACAGTTTGGAGGCCAGAAGGCTAAGATGAGTCTCCCTGGGCTAAATATTGGCAGGGCTAAGTTCCGTGTAGAAGCCCTAGGAGAAAGCCCCTTCTCTCGCCTTTTCTGGCTTTTGAAGCTGCCTGTTTCTTTAGCTCATCGCCTCCGTCACCGTCCAAGTCTGTAATGGGGAGCTCGGCCCTCCTCACATCAAACCATTTGAACCTTCCTTGCACCTCTCTCTTCTACTTCTAAGCCCCTTGAGATTCCATTGGGCCCACCTGGGTCATCCAGGATCATTTTCCCATTTTAGTCAGCTGATTAGCAACATCGATTCCATCTGGGATCTTAATTCCCCTGGGCCACATGACATAGCATATTCAGAGGTTCCAGGGGTTAGGATGTTGATGCCTTTGGAGGGCCATCCCTCAGTCTACCACACTCAGAAGCAAATCAGTTTGGAGGGAACATGGAGGGGAAATGAAGACTAGGTATGTCACTGTGCAAACTTCAGAGGCTTCACTCCATGTGGCTCTGGAGCTCCCAGCTAGAAGACTACCTCCATAGTTAGGAAAATAATTGAATAAAGGATCGCCAGAAAGGTTTAAAATATTAAATAATTGCTTTTACTTTTAACCGAAATGGAACTGCAGGCCATTTTAAGTGGAATTGGAAAGAAGTCTGAAAACAGAAGCAAGTGTGACAGCACTGGAAAGTTAACACAGCCAGGTTTTAGGAGTAATTTTACTCTGCCAGAGTTTCCAAACAGTTGAGTATATATTATGCACAAAGGAGCTACACTTCTGAAATGTCTCATATGGTCTAATAGGAAGGGAAGAGTTTGAGGAGAATCTATTTCAGATTCTGTTGCAGGCTCTATGACCTTGCCTCAAGTCCAAGGTTTTAGCAGTGTGGCATGCGAACTGTACAGGTTCCCAAGGTGATTTTAGGTGGGTCACAGATAAATGTTTTTGTTTATTTTATTAAATGAATATAAATTAAAATGTATACTATATAATATATATATGTATATCACATCAAACAGATGATTCCAACTTGACTGTTTCTTAGAAAAGATTTGAAGGGTCAATTTAAAGTCAGTTTAATGTGTAACATTAAATAAATAACTAGTGCTAAAGGAGGGTGTATATGACAAAAACCATGAAGTTGGTAGAATTGCTGAAGCTTGGGAAACATCAATCTAACCATACTAATTTTATGAAATCAATAGGATGGAATGGCCTAATAAGTTATATGAGGTTTAAAGAAACAAGGGGGTAGACCTACCAGAAATTAAGTTTAATTTATTTTCATTCAACTCAGTAATTCATCTCAATACTCAGTATATTCATCTCCTACAGTGCACTCTCCCTCTCTTCTCTCCCTCCCTCCTTCCCCTCTTTTCCCTCTCAGTTCTCTGTCTCACCCTCCCACCTCCGTTAATATCCCCACTGGCTTTCTCATCCATAACTCTGTATCTTTTGTTTCTTTCATACTGTTGTGCTACAGTTGCTACATGATCATGTTACTTGAAATCAAGTCAAGAGAATAAAAAAACATTTCAAAGGGATTAAAAAGAGTTAGAATGCAAATCAATGATAGTAGGAAAGCTCATAGGAAGGTCAGAAGTGGGTCAGGAAGACAGATTTCTCTTTAAGGTAGGCCTTTGAGGGGAGACATGGGCCAGAATGCAGTTCCTTAGCAGAAAAAAGAAAACAGGAGGTACTTAAAAGTGAACAAGAGCAGAGCTATGGCCCAAGTGAATAAGGAGCACGGGGAATTTTTTCTTTTAGAAAGAGTAGGCCCCCATTTTAGGGTACAGAGTTCAACATTTGATACAGTGGAAAGAAAGTCTCTGCATGACTGTCTAGTCTTTCCTTGCATGCTTTCAACGCTAGCTGGTCCACCGTGGTGGTGTTGTTGTTGTTGTTTTTAAATCAACCTAATTGTTGAATAGCTTTTTAAAACAAGCTTTAACATTTGTTGCTGTTAAGAAACAGGTTTTATTTAGTAAATAAATCTTCTCAGTCTTGCTTTGTGCAACATGAAACATCTTCTTCCTTCACCACTTTGTGGCTGCCCTTTGTAGCAACACAGGTGGTTTCAGGACCCTTTTTTAAAAAGTGGCACCCCAAACTAAAGCCCATGTTGTCTGACTAGGCCAGACCAGAGGGAGGCCATCCATTCTCATGCCTGGGGGAGGCAGAAAAGGAGAAGGAGCCCCACTGGTGTTGCCCAGTGGTTAGAGCATTGGCCTGCAGACCAAAGGGTCCTGGCTTTGATTCCAGCCAGGGGCAGGTACTTCAGTTGCAGGCTCCACCCCGGGGCTGCAGGCTCCATCCCAGCCTCAGGTCAGGGTGCATGTGGGAGGCAACCAATTGATGTGTGTGTCTCTTTCTCCCCCTTCTGTTGTCTCTGAAAAGCAATGGAAAAAATATCCTTGGGTAAGAATTTTTAAAAAAAATCAATAAAAATTTTAAAAAAAGAAAATGAGAAGGAGAACAAGCATGCTTTGATTATTAACTCCTCGGCTCCAACCTGGTAGCTTACCATTGCTCTTGGGATAAAGAAAGAAATACCTTAGGAAAGGCTTCAAGACTCCCAGGGTCTGGCCCCTTGCTGCCTCTCCAGAGTCACTCACGCTGTGTCTCCCTGCTCCAGGGACAAGGGCCTTCGTTCTGTTCCTTGCAATTCCCTCCCATTTCAGAGCCTTCGGTACCCTTCCTCCTGCCTCTGCTTAGACCATTTTGCTCAACCCTCTCCTCTTTGCCTGGTAAATCTCTTCTCATTCTTTAGATTTCAACCAGTATTCCATATATTCCCTTCCTCAAGCAGCCTTTCTCTAACCTATGGTTCAGTCAACTCATTATAATAAACACAAGTAGGAATTCCCTCTCTTGTAGTACTTACAAAACAGTTTCTGTTTGACATTTCTTTGTGTGATAATTTGATTAAAGCCACTGACTAAGATGCTTCTCACTCATTATTTTATCTTCAGTGTCTAGTACAGTGAGCAGAACACAGGGAATCTCTTAAATATTTTTCTAATTAGGTCACTGATGCCAGACATGAGCCAGGAATTGGGCTAGGCTTCGCTTATACTATGTCACTAACCTCTCTCAACAGTCATGTGAGATAATTTTTCTATTTGATAAATAGGAAAACTGAGGACCAACAAGGTAAAGTTATTTATTTAAGTTCCCTCAATGAGTAAATGGAAAAATCATGATCTAATCCAGGCATATGGGCTATGGTTAGGACTCTTTATCTGCCTGTTGTTCCTCCTCTGCTACCAGGACCCCACTTTCTTTTCTAGAATTCACACTGGACTCTATGTCTTTCAGGAGGGTTTGTCATTCACAAGGTTCTGTTCCCCTCACACCCCCAACTCTAAGGGTGGGTTTAG